ACATGGCTTCATTTATTTTGGGATTTTCATTCCTAAACAATATAGAGTATAGGATATCTTCTTGCTAGTAAATTACCTGATTATTAGAATAAGACATCTTGCTTAATAAAGACACCACAATTGTTATGAAGTCATAAATTCTATCCAGAAGTTGGTTTAATATCTTACCCCTCCACTGCTTTTTGACCCGCTACCCAACTCATTATTAAGAACATCACCAATTCTGCCTCTCTCCTATCACATTCCCCTGTGGACTTCTCAGATATAACCACCACCCTGAATTATGTGTTAAATCATTCCCTAGCTTTTTCTAAAAAAACAATGATCATAAATGAAATGTACTTATAGAAAATATATTATTTCATCTTGTTTGATCTTTATCACTCTAAAAATGAATCCCTAGTTTAGGCAGTGTCTCAGGGTTGCTTTTCCCAGTCTGAATTATGTTGGTGAGATTCCTCCTGTTTTGTCGAGTTGGAGTAAATTCATTTTCGGTGCTGTAGTGTCTTTCACATTCAGTAAGAGATGAGGAGCATTACAGGCCCTGTTCCTCCTACTTTTAGCCTGCGTGGCATTCTGTCCTCCACGATGAATCTTGTGATGGTTCACCCTTTCACGATGCAATATTGGGGTATTTGCGCTGCCAGGCAAGTGAGGGCTGGTGCATGTGTGAGGTTGCTAAGTGAGATAGGAACCACTTTTCTAGTTTAGAAACAATGTTATTGCTCCTCTGGTATAGAACAGTTCTTCAGAAAACAGAAATTGTCATGTTATTTCTCAAGAATGCATTTAGTGGGTTCTAAGATGACAATGTCATAACCTATACAGTTAAGAGAGGGGACCCCCTGGGAGACCTCAACACAGACAGATCTCATGATGAGTCACATTTCTCTTGGTCTTGAATGCATATAACTTGAGGCTTAAATTGCTTTCCATGTGACCTTAATCAATAAGCTTCCACAAGAAAACATGAATGGAGCACTGTGGGCACTACGGACACTCTGGGCAGAGAGCATCATCTGGAATAGGAGCCACAAGACCTGCTCTGGTCCCGAGTCTGCAAGCCATTCACTGAATGGCCTTGAGTGGACTTTCCTTCCTGGCTTCAGTCTACTCCTCTCTGAAATGAGGGGACTGGGCCAAATGGGCTTCACTGAGGTCCCTTCTGGCCCCAAAATTCTAGCACACCTTATCTCAGAAAAAACTAAGAAGGTAGAACCCTTGCTGCCCAAGTCCAAGGTGAGAAAAGGGTTTAAGCTGCACTATCTGTTCTGCATGCATATTCATCAAAGTTTCTCAGCAGCCAGAGATGCCCCATCGTTTTATTAATCTGCTTCACTGAGCGTAAGTTTGGTTTGGAGGTAGACCAAGACTAATTGGCAGGTGACGGAAGCTCCAGTTTTCTTTTCTTCCCAACAAAACAATAAAACCCACCGTCTGGGTTTTGCCCAGCTATATGGTTTTTCCAGTAACAGGCACTTTGAGTCAGTTTCAAAAGCATGAGCTTATGCTGACCTTACAGATTCTAAAATTAGGAAGTAGAAGAAATATCCGCACTTATCCCATAAGTGTGGTTTTAGCTCATAAATGGACAAGGAGCAGACCTTTCCTTACTCACCCAAGGAGCTCATCTGGTTCTGCCACTCAGTTCTGGGTGACTGTAAGTAAATCGTATATCCCCACCCCCCCTACAATGAAGAAGATGGGCCAGAAGTTCTCTGAAGTCTACCACCTCTGAAGTCCTAAGGTCAGACAATCTGTCTAGAATAAAAGAAACATATGCAGATATCTATTTGAGGAGAGTTCAACATACAGAAAAAGAAATTTGGATCCAGACATCACCTTCCTCTATGTCTTGGGTATTCACTGAGCATCTATTCTGTGCTGGACACAGGCATTGTGTCTTTATACACCCTGCCAAGATTATTAGGGTGTCAGTAATATTGTTCCCATTTAACACATGAGGAAGTTGCATCTCAAAGAGAGTAGGTAACTTTCTTAATAATATGAGTCCCACAAATACTGCGTGCCAGCACTAGGATTTGAACTGAGGCCTGCCCCAAAGTCCACACCATATTTTTAATGTTTTTTTTTTTTTAATTTTGAGGGAGGGAGCGTACGTGCAAGCAAGGGAGGGTAGAGAGAAGGATAGACAGAGAATCCCAAGCAGACCCTGTGCTGTCAGCACAGAACCCCATGCAGGGCTCAACTTCATGAACCATGAAATCATGACCTTAGCCGAGATCAAGAGATTTGGCCCTTAACCATCTTAGACACTTAACCAACCGAGCCATCCAAGCACCTGCAAAGTCCACTATCTTTAAGCGATAGATCCCAGAGATCTTCGCCTGGTGGGAAATAGCACCGCATGTGTTTTCGTGGTGGCATGCTGTTAAAATGTCTACACACAGTGTCCCTGTGGGATGTGTGCACTTCCCAGCAGGCCAGCTGCTCCCATTGTCCCTGCTTTAAAAAACATAACTGGGAGTGGCAGGGGGGTGGGGGGTATCCAGGGAGGACACCTGGATAGCTCAGTCGGTTCAGTGTCTGACTTTGACTCAGGTCATGAAATCGCGGTTGGTGAATTCAAGCCCCATGTCGGGCTCTCTTGTGTCAGCACAGAGCTGGCTTCAGATCCTCTGTCTCCCTCTTTTTCTTCCCCTCAAGCTCTCCCTCTCTCTCTCTCAAAAATAAAATAAACATTAAAGAAAACATAACTGGGAAGAAAGGAGACTGAGAAGCTCTATGCTGCACGTCTGTAATGAGCCTCATGCAAAGGGCAGAGGAAATGCTGTTTTATTTACCTTGTTTTATGCTCTTTGAAAAAGGAGGAAGCCAGCTTGGATTGCACATGGGCTAACACTACTTTGGCAGTGAAGTTTTCAAAGTAGCCATTGGTGTGATGTTTACAGGTATATAGGAGCTAAACACCAGGGGGCCAGAAATGTGCAATGATTCCACAATGATGTGCCTTATCATTTTTAAAGGACTCATCTTGAGGCAAATTTGGACTTTGTAATGTCCTAACACAAGTATTTTCTCACTGACTGTAAGTAAATATTTTCTAGAATGCCTACATGGCCCAGCCTATTCCCCAATGCTAGGAAGCCATAAGCCATAAGGGGACCCCAATGTTATGTACAGGATAATATAAAATGAGATTCTCTTCCTGTAAGTGGGGAAGAAGAACAAGTGGAAAGAGCATATAACTATTTGGATTTGAGTTTGGAGACACGGACTGTACCAGTGTCACAAGACACTGCCAGGTCTAGTCAAAAGTGAGCCTCAGGGGCGCCTGGGTGGCTCAGTCGGTTGAGCTTCCGACTTCGGCTCAGGTCATGATCTCATGGTCCGTGAGTTCGAGCCCCGTGTCAGGCTCTGTGCCAACAGCTTGGAGCCTGGAGCCTGCTTCACATTCTGTGTCTCCCTCTCTCTTTGCCCCTCCCCCACTCAGGCTCTGTCTCTCTGTGTCTTGCAATAATAAAAAAAGTTAAAAAAAATTTTTTTTAAAAAGTGAGCCCCAGGTTATGACAGAACAGTGAGCCAGAATTGAGAAAAATAAAATGCAAAGCTGCCTCCACCTGCTTTCCCTTCCTTCCCTCTTGTGCCACTTTGTCCTGTCCCCTAGAAGATAAATCAGAGTGGGGTAGAGTGGGACAGGCAGACACAGAGGTGGCCTTGGGCCAAACGTCTCCCCAGGACAGCACGAAGCCATTGGCTTCCAGGTGGTGCTAGACCAAAGTCCCAGCGTTCCAGCAGGGATTCTGGAACAAGGCTGAGTTTCATAAGCTGATTTTCTGAAGGCAGAAGTGTCTGGCCGAGGTGACAGGAGAGCCAGGTGGCTCTGTCCACAGAGAGGAGGGGAGCTGGAAACGCCCGGCCACAGCACTTTGTGTCTCCCTGGACTCCTGCCAACCCGGGCCCATGGAGCCCCCAGCTGCTGGCCTGAAACCTGGAAAGGATGACATTCCCTGCCGGACATGTGCCGAGGTGCTTTGCAGCCGTCCCACGCTTGTGTTTGTGAGCGAAGAAATTCATTTTGCGCTAAGGGGAGGGAGAGAACTTGCAAATTTCTGCACCCACCTGGACTCCCTGATTTTAATCTTTATTCTGTCTGCCACACCTGCACGAGCCTCTGTCCCTCCATCACTCTTTTCAGTCTTGCTGTCCTTTAAAAACACCGCCATCGGGGCACCTGCGTGGTTCAGTTGGTTTCAGAGTCTGACTCTTGATTTCAGCACACGTCATGATCTCAAGGTTCGTGAGTTCAAGTGCAGAGCCTGTTTGGGATTCTCACTCTCTTCTCTCTCTGCCCCTTCCTCTCTCTCAAAATAATAAATCAACTAAAAAAAAAAACCCACCTCCATTGGTGATACAGGAAGAGAAACATCGGCCGTGGACACGTCTGGGCTGGAATCCTGACTCAGCCCCATGGTGGTCTTGTGATGGCAGATGACTTTAACCATACGGCACCTCACTTTCCTCATTAATAAGAGAAGAGAGTAAGGCCCCTGATGCGTGTGACAGAATTGAGAGGTAGTCTGGGAGAAGGTTGCTGGCTGCATGATCCTAAGTCCAGGACTGTGCCTCCTCTGATCACTAATGTTACAGCGGCCAGTCTCTTTCTGCACAACTGCACTGTGCCATGCTCCTGCTCATCAGCCTGTGACCTGCCCATGGGCACGTGGCAAGGACAATGCCTAGCGTGAATATTGCCCGATTCAGAGACACACAGAGTCACTGCCATTGCTCAGGTTCTGCTTGTGCACCCATGAAAGCAGAGGGTTTTCCACCTTGGGACTCAGCCAATCACGTTTCCTTGTCACCATGGCCTGGACCAGGCCCGGTGCCAACCAGGCTGCACCCTTGCCAGGGCTAGCCCAGGGGCTGTCGTAAACACAAGCTCTCCTCAGTACTGTGTGTGCTCTTATTTGTGCCAGGAAAGATCATAAAAACAGGGGGTTAGACCCCATTCTACTGTAAGTGAGGAGCGCCAGGACATGTCTCACGGGATTGGCAAGGCAGCCCATGAACTAGTGTACAAGAAGAGCCCAGTATGGGACCTCGTGCTAGTGAGTGCCAGGAAATGTTACTTTCCTTTTCCTATTCTGTCACTGCTTCTTTATGCTTGTCTGTGTCAGATGGCAACGAAGAAGAAAGAAAAAAGAAGAAAGAACCAAGTGCGTTGACCAAAAGTTTTCCTCTTTATGGGTACCAGCCATGTTTCTTTTTTGATTCTGACTCCATGAAGACAGTAACTGTTTCATTTGATTTACAAATATATTATGAATGCTAATGTCTAATATCAGTATCAAGGAGAGTTTTAAAATGTCATCTCTGGGGTGCCTGGGTCAGTCAGTTAGGCATCCGACTCTTGGTTTCAGCTTAGGTCACGATCTTATGGTTTGTGGGTTTGAGCCCCACATTGAGCTCTGAGCTGATGGCATGGAGCCTGCTTGCAATTCTCTCTCTCCTTCTCTCTCTGTCTCTTCCCTGCTTGCTTTCTCTCCTTCTCTTTCAAAATAAATAAACAAATTTAAAAAAAGAAATGTCATCTGTGCACAGGAAACCCTTCCTGTTACGCAACCTGATCTCTTGAGGAGTCAACAATCTGTGAACACGAACTTGTCAGTAGGACATGGTTGAAATTCTAGAACAATACAAATTTTGATGAATCTCCTGAAATGAAACCTTGCGTTACAAACTAATTCCATTCCAGGCAAAGGTCAAATGAAGCAGAAGGTTGAAAAAGTGCTGTTACGTACACAAATCCCATGGTCCAGACTCTGGGTAAAGCTCATAACCAGAGCTGTCTTTCAAATGTTTTAACTTTTTTTTTTTCATCAGAAAGACATGTACGTGTTTTCTAAAAATCAAATAGTGTAGGGGCGCCTGGGTGGCGCAGTCGGTTAAGCGTCCGACTTCAGCCAGGTCACGATCTAGCGGTCCGGGAGTTCGAGCCCCGCGTCAGGCTCTGGGCTGATGGCTCAGAACCTGGAGCCTGTTTCCGATTCTGTGTCTCCCTCTCTCTCTGCCCCTCCCCCGTTCATGCTCTGTCTCTCTCTGTCCCAAAAAATAAATAAACGTTGAAAAAAAAATTTTTTTAATCAAATAGTGTAGAGACACAGATAAGGAAAAACAACTGTCCCCTGCCTGCCCCCCCCCAGCCTCCATCCTGGTCTCCAGAGGCAATCATATTTAATAATTTCTGATTTAGTTCTTCTGTGCCTAAAGTTCTCAATAACAAGCTCATGGAGCTATTTCTAGATTCATCAGCCTTATATACTATCCTTAAACTTTCTGTTGTGCTATGTGACAGTTTAGTTTGCTTATACCCCGATATCTTTCTTTATAACACATTCACCTGCTATATACATATGTATGTATAGGAAATAGATGTTTATAATGCCTTTTTAACTCATTTATTTATTATCTTTATAACTTTATATCCTTACCTCTCTCTATATTTTCCCATCAATATAGACAGGATGTATTTCTCTCTTTTTGAGCTATAATCACTAATACTCATTTATTAATCCAAATCAAATGGGAAATAAAAATAAATATCAAGCCACTAGACAAATCCCTTTTCTGCTCTGATTTAGGATTTAGGATTCCTAGCTGTCGGAGACAGTAAGCACTCAGCTGGACAAGTCTACTGACAAATGTAGATTATCTTAGTGGTGCGAGCCTTGATGATCCATATACGTGGACTCACCATTTACGGCTGAGCTCCTTTATGGGATCCCTTAGGCATCTTCTAAATATCCAAGGCCTGTAATTCTGGGACTCACATGTGCACTCCTGTAAGCCCTGCTCATCCTACATTAATAAGAATGTGCTGCTTTCTCAGACTAGGAATAATTGCTTTTCATCAACGTTCCAACCTTCTTCGGAGCTCTCTTGAATTGGACCCACTATTTCCTGGATCCTACAGCTTTTTTTCTTTTTTCTTTGATCCTAATATTTGCTACAGTACAGTTTCCCAGGACAGACACAGAAAAGTAAATGCGGATTTACTGTGATGCTAATGAAGCATAAAAGCTTTAAGGTCCCCAACCAGCATGGGCTTCTTCCAAGGCCCAAGGAAGGAACGGCCTTTGCTTTAGCATCACATGATTGTGTGCTTTTATAAAATCTGCAAAAATAAAATAGTTTAACAATAATTGTTTAGGACAACATCTCTCTCCTTTTTTCCCTCTGTCACACGTATGTTGCTAGGTGATGATGCAGTGGCCTAGAAACGTGTTGAAAATTAGGTAAGGGGAAGCTGAGTTGGTGATACAGAGTTTGGGTATAAGAGTCATGGCTACCTCTATGTATAATTGAGTACTTGTGAATTCAAAGAAATGGCTTCCAGAAAACTGTTCTCTCTGTTTCTCCTCCCTCTCTCCCTGTCAGCCTCACCAGCTCAGAGCCTGAGGTCATATCTCAATATGAACACATTAGTTTCCTATACTATCAATCAGAAATAACAAATTTTGGTCAACCATAAGAGCACAGAAAAGACTGAATATTTCTATTCTTTCTATAAAAATATAAGCCTGGGTGGCTCAGTCAGTTGAGTGTCTGTCTCTTGATTTTGGCTCAGGTCATCATCTCATGGTTCATGGGCCTGAGCCCCAAGTTGAGCTCTGCACTGATAGCACAGAGCCTGCTTGGGATTCTCGTTCTCCCACACTCTCTGCCTCTCTCCCACTTGTTTTCTCTCTCCCTCTCTCTCTCTTTCTCCCTCTCTGTCTCTCTAAATAAATAAATAATGACAGAAATCAGTGAATCAAAATTTTTCTGGATTTTATAATGTTTATAATATTTAAAGCTAATATTTTTGTTTGTGATTTCTTCATGAGTCTAAGTAAATATTCACTTTTGAACCTAATTACAGAGTAGTAATTTATTTTTATTAAAAAAAAATTTTTTAATACTTATTTAATTTTGAGAGAGAGGGAGAGATACAAAGCGTGGGCTGGGGAGGAACAGAGAAAGAGGGAGATACAGAATCTGAAGTAGGCCCCAGGCTCTGAGCTGTCAGCACAGAGCCCAACGCGGGGCTCAAACTCATGAACCTGTGAGATCATGACCTGAGTCGAAGTCGGACACTTAACCGACTTAGCCACCCAGACGCCCCCAGAGTAGTGAGTATTAATGCTTTTCTTAAAGAGAACCCCCCCAATTTGCATAAGCTTCAGGCCCCACCAAACTTGAATCCATCACTCTACTGGAAGTACATTTCCTGAGGCCTTGCAAGTCTAAAAATGACTTTTATTGATGGATAGTGTGGCCAAGTCAGATTTCTAGTTTGATTTTTTTTGTTTCTCAGATACCCAAAAGCACCGAACCAGTGCTGAGAATACCATTTTGATTCAGTTCCCTACTTTGGTGGAGTGGGGCAGAGAGTGGGCAGAGTGGACAGATGTTTCACACTAAGATGTATTGCTAAAATACAGAAATTCTTCTGTAGCAGTAGGTACATGGCCAGTGTCCTCTAGCGCCCCCACCCCCACCCCGCCAAAGTCTCCCCAAGCTGTCCTGGCCTCTGAAGACTTTCCTCTTGGATCCCCTAGACTTCCCACAACCCAAACAGCTAACGGGCTAATGCCCAGTACAGCAAGACACAATTTTAGTGTTACTTCTAGTAGCATCCATTCTGATGGGTCAGTGCCCAGGCCATACAAAGTGTCAAATATTTTGACTACTGCCACTTGAGGGTGGGACTTTGTTGTTATCATTATCTGTTTATTTTAGTCTAGAAGATGTCAGTATTTTCTTTTGTTGTACGAATTCTGAAATTTCACGATCATGTGGCTCATCTGAGTCTCTTTCCTTTCATTGGGCTGGGTCCTCTGCCGTGAATGTCTACAGTCAGTCTTGGACTTTATCCTGACCCCTCTTCTGCAGAAAAGCTCATTCTGATTTTGATAGCTGTCCAGCCTGTAATGGGATTATAAATTCTTTCCTTAGGGAATTGCCCTGAAACTGTCAAGTCAACTGACTCTTCAGTTTTCTTCCAGAAAACACTGTACACAATTAGGCCAAAAACTGGGTCTTCACCTCGCGCCCCCCACCCCACCTCCCCTTCACAGATCAGCACACACTAGTCTCCCACCCTCCCCACTTGCATCTAGCCCTTTCCTTCCTCCCACATCTCTTTCACGGACATGATGTGGATACTTTTACTCCTAAATGGTCTCTGTGTTTTACTCTTTCTTCTGAAGCACAGATGCTCACCTATCATTTTTGTCTTCCAAAATTATACAGAACTGTCCTTTGCATGCAAAATATTATCTATGGTGTCCAAAGATGTCTAGAAAGTAATCTGTGTCTGGTTTCTAGATTTGCATGATAATGTCCACCATCACCATCCCAACCTGCCCTCTGTGTCATATTCCAATCCCCATTTGGCCTGAGGAGACCTTCCTCCCCAACCACCCTATAGGACTTAGCTTTCCCTCCACCTTTTCCATAAGGTTGTCACAGATCCAAATATCCCCCTCCCCACTACCAAAGGAATCTCTCCCTTATCCTACTCCCATTGAGTTTCCAATGTGTTGAGTTTCCAAAGCTTTTTACTTTTAGGTTCCCTGGTGGGACTATCTTTCCCTATGTTCTGAGCATCTGCAGGCAGAGAGCTCTTTCCCGGCTGCCAGCACACTGGTTTCTACATTACATAGTATCTATCATTTAATTTGAGAGAATGGAAAGAGAGGGGGTTCTGTGAATGGAAACTCTTTGGGTAAAAAGGTCGAGAAGAGCCAGAAAACCAGAGCTCTGCAACTTTTTATAATGGAGGCTTAATTCCATTTGCTGAGACTCTGCATCTCTGAATTTCAGACTTCTAGAAAGGGGAAAGTTGGAAGAGTTTAAAAGACTTTTTCCTCTGGTTTTGCCATCAAGCCTTGTTGTTCAGCTGCTCCTTTTATTCCTGACCCAAGTTTAAGGTTAAAGGAGGAGGATCAGGCAAAGGGATCTGTATGTCCCACTAAGTAAAAGGAGCTTGCAGATTATAAAAACAGGAGGCTAGCCCACACCATCTGAGAGCCAGGCCATCGTTCCCTCCGGAGGATGTCAAATG